CCTCGTTATCTCCATACTGATTTATACCTGCCTCTGGAGATTTCCATTACTTGCATCTGAAGAAGTGAGGTTCTTACCCACGAAAGCTTATGCTCCCAATACTTCTGTTAGTCTTAAAGGTGCCACAGGACCCTCTGTTGCTTTTTACAGATTCAGACTAACGCGGCTACCCCTCTGATAGTTTACAACAGTGTAACTTCTTATTCCAGTGGGAGACTGTGCGCCTTCACACACGTCTGTCTCCAGTCGATGGATCTCTGAAGCTAAATCAGTTTAGTTGCCCCACTTTTTTGCAGCCCGGTATCGATTGGCGTTAACTTGATTATTGGTAATGTGGAAGCCATTACCGTACCTAAGTAAGATAAATCGATTTAAACCTGGCTTAAATTGATGTAAGTGTCCACACAGGTTTTTGCACCATTTAATTTAAAAGCTTACCTTGAGGCTATATTAATATTCTACTACAAGCTAGGGGTGTGATTCCCCCAGCTCACGTACACGTACTTGAGGTAACCCAATGAGAGCTAGCACTTGTATAAGTAGTAGTGTAGCTTCGGTAGCACTGGCAGTGTTGGCATGGTTTAGTCATGCCAGTATAAACACTCCTGCAACCTGTGAGTATGTACTCAGCACAGCTAAACCATGTTGCTGCTGCCTATGCTACCACAGCTGCACTACTAATACTCATGCTAGTTCTCATCAAGCAATCATGAGAATTTGTATGCGAGCTGGGAAATCACACTCCTAGCTTGTAGTGTAGATGTAGCCTTAGTTAAGCCAGTGCCCCATACTTGTATAGACAAGAGCTCAGATTCAGGACCTCTCTGTCAGATAAATGCATTGAAAAGAGATACCTGAGCTATTGCATTTTCCTTCCTCTGTTTAAATACTGTTCTTCTTTTTTCAGGAACAGTAACTGCTGCCAATGCCAGCACACTGAACGATGGAGCAGCTGCTTTGGTTGTGATGACCTCCGAGGCAGCCAAGAGACTTAATGTCACACCACTTGCAAGAATAGTGGGTAGGAATTTTTCCAAATGCCTCTCTCAAGTACTATGCTGGAAAATACTCTTCTGATTTGCCATGTGACCTGGAATCTTGCTTAACCAGTCTTCTTTTTCTTTGGGGGAGAGTGGGATAGGTTCATTGGCTAGGAAGGTGCAGCTGTAACGTAACTTGAACTGTTCTTTTAAATTCCAAGAGCCAAACATGCTTGGACTCTTGATCATAGCCAGCCTTTCCTAAACAGAGGATTATGTCTAACACATTTTAAAAGTAAAATCTGAAAGTATTACCATACTGTTTGCTTACAAGCACACACAGCTTACAGCCTGTTTTCAGGAGTCATTTTATTTAAATGAATAGAAAAATTGATTGGTGGAGAAGGGGAGTGTTGGACTTGTATCCTGTGTAGGTTAATATTTCCTTTGTGAAAAGTGATAAAAGATTTCAATAATATTTATGGTCTTACAGCTTTTGCAGATGCTGCTGTTGATCCTATTGACTTCCCAATTGCACCTGCGTATGCTGTTCCCAAGGTAGGAACAAAACTGATCATTGCTGAATATAAAAAAAAAATTGTAAGCTTGCCTAAATTGCTCCAATGATCCAACATGGATTTTCCTCTGATTGGAACACAGACAATACTTGCATCACAGGCTTATTTATAAAGTACTTTGGGACCTTTTAGATAAAGTAGTATTTATATTATGATTGCTTAATCACAAGAATAACTCCCAAGCAAAGTGCACATTCAGTTTTCTGTTCCAGTTAGGTTTTTTTATTAAAGGAACACAGTTCTCTTGAAATTTAGTCGACTTAAAGAAAAGAGTTGAAAATAGTTACAGGTACTTCCTTGCCCTCCAACACCTCTGCCAGTTTTTTGTGGTTAAATCATCACTGTTGCTGTCTGAAAAATCCTCACAAACAGGAACACAACATAAATAGGCTATCAAGTCAAATACCCAAAGTAAACAAATTAGAAAACAGAAAAAAATATTTCTTATTTAGTCCTTATAGTAACTTCAGGTGTTACAAGTAACAAGTGACAAATCTTTTAGACAGAAGTGTGATGGGATCTGAGTCAGTGTCTCATCAAGGAACTAGTTAAATGATGCTGTTCATTGTATTAAATAAAGGGTCTCTCTGTGGGTATGATAAATGTAGATAAAACAAAAAGCTGACAACTTTCCAGGTTCTTGTATATTGGCACTTGCTATGCAGACTCCTTTAGTGCCAGACTGTGGGGTTAATAATGTTGCCTGAGTTGAAGTTAAGACAGACATGTTAATCTCCGTGCTTGAGAGAGAACCCAGCTGGGAGGTTAATAAATTATTCTAAGCATGTCAAAGCAATTATCCGTAACTAAGGCCTTGCATACGCAGGAAGGATTTTTTTAATACAACCTAAGGTATGAATTTAAACTGATATAGCTATACTAGTATAACCCCCTCCTCCCCCAATGGGCACTCTCGTTTTGATCTAAACAGAAAAAAGTCTTATCAGAATAAGTGTGTCTACACGGTGGGGTACGGGGCTGGTATACTGTTGTAATTGGTAAAATGTTTCTTTGTAGACTGGTGGTAAAACTTGTATTTGACAGCATTAGATTAGCCCAAATCTGTGGAAAATATTTAATTGTCACATTTGTCAAATGTGCTGGTAACTTTACAGAAGACTTTGGTTTTGTTTGAGCTGATATATGGCTTTGGTCAGAAAAGGTTATGTCCATACAAATGTGGCTGTTTCTTAAAATGTAATCCACTTCATTGAATTACATTGATGGAATTATTGACGTGTTAAAACCAATTTAGCTTGCAAGGTATAAATATTAAAAGGAGGATTGAGTCCTCAATGCTAATAACTAGATTGGGGTGTCAAACTCATTCTGTAGGAAAGGCCAATTTTTTTTTTTTTTTTTTTTAAATTTATGGTGTGTGGGCTGGGGCATAAATTTACATCTGTATAATCCCCTCAATCCACAGATCTCTCACTGATGATGTTGTGGTGATTGCATAAAGATCAAGGTTAGAATAAAGGTTTTTTTATGTAACAAATTTTTAATTCAGTTGCATTCTGCATCACTTGGGAGAATATTCTCACTCTTAGGACCTACCACTATTTCTCCTCTTGTTGTCACTTCTACATCTCTACTGCTCCCCCTGGCTTTGGTCTTGTCTGTACTTAAAAGTTTTGCAACCCTCCCTAGTTTAGAGTTATACTAGTAGAAAAGTGCGTATACTGGTATAGCTTATTCCGATTCAAGAACTCAAAGAAGTTATACTGGTATTATACCTTTATACCATACCAGTATAACTGGCAGCACACACAAAAAAAACAAACCCCACCCCCTAACCAGTAGTGACAATGGTAAAACTTTTAAGTGGTTTTGTCTTGCTTCCTTTTCTCCCCCCGCCCCCCCCCCCTTCTATTTTCTTTTTTGCATCAACTCCCAGTTTGTATCCACAGGCTTCACTTCCACTCCATTTCCAGCTGATAAATAGTTACTGACATGTGAAGCATCATCACTCTATTGAGGCTAATGGAAAAGGGGGAGTGAATTTCCAGAGCTGCTGTTTCGAGCTGTCTGCAAACAGGGAAGATATCTGTGTCAGTTACATTGTGCTTACATTTGGAAGGTTAATTGTAAGCATGAGGGCAAAGAGAATTTTAGATTCTGCAGAATCTGAACATGCTACACAACTTGCATAAATACATCAAGTAGGCCTTGTGTCTGACACCTTCAAACTAGAGGCTGTGAAAGTTTCGCCACTCTTTTCTTTTTTTCTCTGCTGGGCTTCCCTTGAGTTCATTTCAGTTGTGACAAAGCCAGATCTAGAGCCATCTTAGCCCTGTTTTTACAGGGGCAACTGCTGAGATGTGCAGTCTTCTGTACAATCCTTTCTTTGTAGGGAATAGTCTTAACACCACTTTTGAATAATGTGTATCCCAGCTGGGAAACTGGTGAAAAGCCTTGTGACAAGGGGAAGCTTCTGATCCAGGCCGAGTGCTTCACTGGGTAACTTTCAACTTGTTATAGGAAGTGTAACATTGAATTAAAAACAAAACAGGACCACCATGAAGTGCTTTTGGCTACATAACTTTCACAACGTTTTATTTCTAGGTTCTTAGTGATGCAGGATTGAAAAAGGAAGACATTGCGATGTGGGAAATCAATGAAGCATTCAGCGTTGTAGTCTTAGCCAATATTAAAATGCTGGGTATTGATCCACAGAAGGTGAACATACATGGAGGTGCTGTGTCTTTGGGACATCCAATAGGGTAGGTGAAGTACTCCGTTATGTGTTTTTGTTTGTTTGTTTGCACTTTAGAGTAGGTCTTATCCTTGGACAGTATCTGTTAAACACATCATTGCGTCTGTGTGTGCTTGGGCCATGTTTTTTTTAACACTTCCATTTTGTCTTTAGTTTTCCAAGCCAGGGGCAAAGGCTTTTGCTACTGTCACAGGGAGCCAGTCAGTAGGAAGAAGCGTGAGCAAGAATTGATGGTGGCAATTTGGTAGCAAGTTCATTGTAATTTTATCCAAGGCTTAACTTTTAGGGTTCTGTGAATCGGGCTTGGTTGGAGGTTCACCTTTCACCTCAGTATTTAGCTCTTCTATGCAGTGGATGAGCAAGATTGGGAACCTTTTCTTGGATGAAGAATTTTCCTTGTGTCACAGGAAATTTTATTCAGTTCATTTATTTGCTCCCATCACTGTTGTCTTGGTGCATGTACCATTTTTTTCTCAAATTTCTAATTATTGAACTTGTTAACCAGGAAACAGACATTACTCCTGTCAGAATCAACTGCAACAGTAAACCCATTAATTAATGTTTGTGCAGTGCTTTCAACATGTGCTGTACTAATAAGTATTTGTTATACTGACTAAGCCCTCCTGCAAAAAGCCTAAGTTAAATGGAGGACCTTCAGGGCATAGTGTAAAGACCACCAGGACACTGGATCTGTCCCAGCAACAGGCAATTAAACTCCAGGCCTAGGGCCCTCTACTGAAAATTCTCACATTTGATCGCTACTGTTGTCTAAGGTGGATCCAGAACATCTACTGAACACCTAGTATTGCAGTTAGAAGCCAGCGCGGTCATTGGAGCACTGCTGTAATGTGCTCTTTTCAGTTTAACCCACCTGCCCCCCTTCCCCCCAAACAAAAAAAAAGTTGTCACGTTATGAAGCAGCTGTAGTTTCGGAATAGTCTAAGTCTTTCCCAGTAATCTACTTTGGAGGTGATAACTGGCATTGTGCAGATCTATTGAAGAAAAATAGCCCCAATCATCTAGCTAAATACAGCTGGGAAAACCCATTGGGGATTCCAGGAGCAAATGGTGATCCAGAAGTGCCCCTTGAGTTGCAAGCTCTGTTGGCAAAGATGTTAGGACCACTCCTCAACTCGGGGGGTGGGGGTGGGGGTGGCGGCTAACATCTTCCTTCCCATATTCTGTTGGTGTCCTCTGACCAAATCAACATCACCATAGTCTTCTCTGGATAGGTTATTTTCAAAAGTCCCTCTCTTGGTAAGTATGTAGGGCCCCGATCCTGTAAACATTTATGCATTGAACTAAATGAGCTGACTTTTGTGCCAAAATGCTTGTCTACACTTAAAACACTGCAGCTGGACCGTTTCAGTGAATTCTATCTAGGCTGCTGGGAGGAGTTCTCCTGTTGGTGTAGATACTCCACCTCTCTGAGAGGCGATAGTTAGGTTGATGGTAGAATTCTCCCGTCGACTTAGCACTGCCTGTGGATTTTTCACACCCCTGAGTGACTTAATTATGCTGATGTAATTTCCTAGTGTAGACCAGACCACTGTGTTTGACGGTTCGGGGTCTTAATCACAGCAAAAGCAGCACCTCATTGTACATCCTCAGACTTGTAGTTGATGAAGAAATCGGTGTACAAAACCACCACTTGAACCAGCAGCTGCTCTCAAAATTCATTCTTCCTGTGGTGGTGGCAGCATGGAAGAGACTTATGTTCAGCCTGCTGTCTTTTTGAGAGAGCTGTGCTTTGCAATGCAGCCCAGTTAATTCAGTTCCAGCAAGGAACAGAAAGCCTGGTATTTTAAAGAGCTGTGTTTAGAATGCTGCAAGGTCTCTTCCCTCCCTAGACTGACACTTCTGGTATTTACATAAAGACCTTCATCCCCTCAATGAAAGACAAAGTGGAAAAACTGGTGGAAAGTTGCTTTTATTACTCTTAGGTATGGTTAATTCGATATTTAATCCAAGGATGCAGTGCTACAGCAGCACTGCCATTTGAATCTGTTGATTGTTTTAGCTTGATTTTATACAAGTTGCTCTGACTTCCTATAAACTAAACTGTTTTCTCTTCTATATAGAATGTCTGGAGCGAGAATTGTTGGTCACATGGCCCATGTGCTGAAGCAAGGACAGTATGGTCTTGCAGGAATTTGTAATGGAGGAGGTGGTGCTTCTGCGATTCTGATCCAAAAGCTGTAGTCTGGCTGGCTGTTGAAAATACCAAACCTTAAAATTATATGAGCAAAATAATCTGAGTGGTGGTGGCAGTTACATTATTTATGGATTTGCAGATAACACCCACTTTAACTGTTGGTTTTCTATAGTATTTCTCTAAAACCTTGATCAGTCATGCTCACATCTGTGTTGCACTAAATTAGTTTAAAGTAAGTGTTTTTTACATAGTGTGAACTAAAACTTATCAAATTATGGTAAACTACAAGTTGTCATTAGACAAAGACTGTATGCCTACTCGGAATGTAGCTGTTCTGTGGATGATTCACAAAGATCCCCACCAGTAATTATTTGAATGAAAATTGTTTTCTTTGGTGGGTAATGAATTGATATTAAATCATTCATAGCTCTTAGCATGGACACATAGCTTAAGTGCTCAATTTTTTTTATTTAAGCCTGTAATATCTAGTTGATTTTTTTTTTCCCTCCCCCCATGAAAATCACCTGGCAGTTACTTACCTGAATCTTGCTGTTGGAACATACCTTTACAACAGGAGTGTGAGTCCAGCTTGCCATCAACTGTTTAGACTTCTTCTAAGGTTAGCTACAATGCTGGAGGAGTCTTTACACCAGCTTTTCATTAAGGATTTCTGCAGCACTTTGTTTAGCATTGATAAAAATTAGTAACTGACATCATAGAACACAAGTTTGTCAACTGCAGCTGAAAATATTAAAAATACTTAACCGTTAAATTATGCACAGATAATTGGCATTTCTCATTAGTCAGAGATAAGTGTTCACCTGCAGAGTTAACTGGTATAACTATATCCCTTTAAGTTCACACCCTACTTTATACAATTACAACTTCCCATGAGACAAGCCCATCAATCTGTGGTATCCAGAAAAGACTGGCTGACAATTGCTTGTGTTCAAGTAAACTATTGTCACCTTTGTGCTAGTTCAGGAGCAGTTGTAAAAATTTTTGCCTTCTGGCCTGAATCTGTGCTACAGTTTTCAGGAATATTTTGAGCTGAACAGATATATCCACATGCAAACTTAGAAATGTAGAAAGATCAGAATATGTATTTTCACTGAAGATTCTGCATATGGTTTGAAAACAATATCCCTAGAATAGGTGGATGCAATTCTAGTGCAGCTTTGGGGGGGTAAGAAGCAAAGAAACGACAAATCCTCCTCTATTTTTCCTAGTACTAGCAGTAATGTAAACTTTTAGTTCTTTAAGCAAGTGTTTTAGCTGATTACCTAAAGTCTTTCTTAACACTTTTTTGTGTGTGTGCTTAACTTCAGTAGTGGTCTTCATGTGTGAAAATTTGCAATCACTAGCAGATAATCTACCAAATTGGCAACAGCACCAACAAATGTTTAACCTGAATGAATAGTTTTGGTAGCTAGATATTCTTAAATTTCTCTCTGCTCCTAGACCTGCTACCAAACAGGTCTTTTTTAAAAAAGATTTCTAAAATCACAGCCAACGTGTACTACACACGTCCAATGCACTGCAAATAGCAGCAGCCTGCTGGAGTTTTTTTTTTTTTAAAGGCTGTGTATATGTTACAGTACCAGTCTCCACTCCTTGACTTCTAGGAAATGAACACCCTAAGAAATGATTTGGTCTTTTGATTCAGAAGTTGTACTGAAGTTGTTAATTCACTTCTGGTAGTACCCTGGTCTTGTCAAGAAACATACTCTGGCAATAACCACTCAAAGGTGAGGCAGGTAACTGGTTCTCATAAAACCATCAATTTTGTGTCTGTAGAAATTGACATTGATCCAAGCACATATGAAACTTAAAATCAGAAGTAACTTCAACCCTCTTCTACACAGCAACACTTCATTCTGTCATGACTACACTACCTTCCTTACAGCTGCTTTAAATTGATTAGCTTCACAAGTCTTGCAGTCTAACCTGTTTTTTGTTGTGGTTTTTGTTGGGGAGGGGAGAAGGAGGAGAGGAGTGAGCATTTTGCTAGATAAGCCCTCTGAGCCTTTAGAGATAATTTCAGACGTTGACTCTATAAGAACATCAAGTTGCAAATGTTATGTCTTTGAATATTGTTCTTTATGGCTAGCTCATGTCCATCCCAGAAAAGCCTATACTACTGATACGTAAAATAATACACCTCTACCCGGATATAACGTGGTAAAGCAGCGCTCTGGCGGCTCAAAGCAAGTTTGATATAATGTGGTTTCACCTATAACGTGGTAAGATTTTTTTTTTTTTTGGGCTCCTGAGGACAGCATTATGGGGGTAGAGGTGTACTGCTTACTAGGTGTAAGACTTCAGAGGAAGACTAGTATGGGTTAAGGATTTCTACTTCACCTCAGTCCAAGCCTGCCTCTGTCTCCAGTGACAACATTAGCTATCATTTTTCCAGAATTAAGTTGAAGGCTTTGTGTAAAATAGGTACTGGAAATATTAATAGATAATATCAAGTCATTTGTGCATGAAGGGTGTAGGGTTTTTCAAAGCTGGCTACTCACTTAAAACATCTTCCAAAAAAAGAAAATTCAGCTATGTCATTTCACATTTCTGCAAACAGACCTGATAATTTAGCATTAACAGTTCTTAGAAGATGCAGAGCAAAAATGAAAGTGAACTGAATACCAGCATAGGCCTGGTAAAGGGCTGTTTGGTACACAAAATCGATAGACAACCTTCTAGATTAAAACCAAAATGTTTATTCAAGCCATAAATGCTATGCAGTATTAAGTTAGTGGATGGGTTTAATATAAACATCTACTGCATAATATTTGGTTCCTTAGGAATCCTTGGATGCTATTTGAAACATTGCCATGTCACCATACAGTTCTTACAAGAAAACTATTACATTGTTCAATAATATATCAACAAGTTGAGAACAAAGAGGAAACACACCACTGCCAGTGAAGAAAATTCTGCAGAACAAGTTATGTCTTGTACCATTTGGAGTAGGGATTAGGACTAGTGATCACAAGAGAGTTGTTTTATTAATTTGTATCTATACCAATTCCTCCCAATGTGTAGGATGCATACATAGGAGCTTTGCCCTGCCACCTTCACTATGTTAAACTACCCCACTGGATACCAGCACGATCTACCTTTATTTTGAGCTAAAAGCCTTTTAAGTAGATGAAACAGGAAGCTACCATAGTGACAATGCAAAATAGGGTTGAAAGAATCATCTTCCCCATTAGAGTATTTTAGATTTTTAGTCTCACTGCATCAACTCACCTCACACACACCCCCTCCGCAAAAAGTAAAATTACAGTGGAAGATCCAGGCGACAGTGTGCCCTGTTCAGAAATACTGTTAGGGATTTCTAACAATCTCTAAAAACTCACTACCTACACAAGTGAACTGTTTTACTTAAGCTGTCATTGAACATTCTTTTCCTTTTGCTAGGAAATCCTTTTGATTTTCCTAAATCAAAACTCACTACCTATTTGAGGTGGGTTTTTTTCCCCCAGCAGCAACTGTTCATTTGAGTACATGGCATTTACTAAATTAGCTAGGGTATTTGGATTTCAGTGACCAAAACTTCCATTTCAGTCCATTACATTTCATCTCAATACAACATAATGCAGGAATGTTGCACTGCTGATCTCCAAATGATATGCATGGATACAGAACTGAGCCATGTGAACTAAACCCCTTACATCTAGTCTGGCTATTAACATTTTAAATATTTAAAACTTCACTATTTTAAATAATTTTTGCACTTCAAACAATACCATCATAGCTAACACGAGCGGCCTTTGGGAATTTACTTGGCTAAGCTGATAACAGCTGTTTAAGATTTTGTAAAATTCTTGGGCAACTTTATTGGAAGATAGTACACTTTGGGGGGGGAGGAAGAGACTACTTGTGTTTGTGCCTATTACTCTTTCCTTTGGGGGTATCATCCATGCAGTTTTAAAAAGTAAAAAAGCCTCTGACAGAACATGGTGTGGAAGGGTAGGCGAGAACTCTACTACAAACAAGTGAGCAACAGTCTGATTTGAGAACCCCCAATACCTGTAAAAGATGATCCAAATGCTTAATTTCCTAGTTCTTCTCTCAACTGCCTTGTTTAAAATCAGCAGTGCTGCAAGGCTTAGAAATGCTGAGCTACAGAATCACTGCCCTCAAATTCACAAAGTGACTAAGCAATTTAGATGGGTAAGTAAAGAACTTTGCAGAATATAAACATCTGGAGTTATAGGAAACAAACTAAGAACATTTGGTTGTTTACAACTCTCCTCACAATACATTTGTACAATACTTACATTATCCAAACAAGTCTACCTGTACAGTTTTGTAAATAAATGGCTCTACATCACTGTAAGTGCTTTCTCAAAAATAAAATATACCAACTTAAAATTCTATTTACAAACTAGCAACCTGCTTCAGAAACAGCATGATTTTGCTATAAAGTGAAACTTCAGTGCACTGAAAGTGCAGCTCACCCTTTACAAAGCGACACCTTGTTTTAAATAGTCATAGTTCAACTATTTTATTCATCATAATGCAAAGATAACAAGAACTTGTCTACATCCATTCCAGCTGGAAAACAATGTGGCAGCTTCTTTTTCTGTTGGGAGAAGTAAAGGCTCATGTTAAACGTCAAAATCATGGAGGTGAAAAAGTTTGCAAATTTCTTACTTTTGCTTCATGCTTCCCCATCCACATGCTCAAGAGATAAACACATGACACTTATTCAGAGAGTACCACATCCTTGTATTAAATTATTGTACACCTGTATTTTAATTGCACAGTGTGATTCAGGGACTGTGGGAGTAGATTGGGTTGCAGTTCCAACTCTTATTTGCTTGTTCTGTGGCCTTGGACAAGTCCCTGTGTATCTGCCTTAAGTTTCCCCGTCCGGACCATGCTTACACACCTTTGTAAACCACTTTGAGACCTCTGGATAAAAAATATTATAGGACTAAGTATTACGAATTACAAAAACTACAGAATGTATCTTGTCCCATCAGTTTATATGGATTGCTTTAATGCTTGATCTAGAGTAATGCCTTTGAAATTCACCATTGGATCAAACTCCCAAGTTTTATTAAAGATAATATTTCAAATGTAGCAAAAAGACAAAGTATGTCAGCTCCTGGGTCTATCACTGCACCGAGGCTGTGGGAAAGGGATTGCATTCCAGATCTTTCTTTTAGTATAAAATAAGTTTTCTTTTTCTACAATGAGTAAGTTTCTAACAGGCTAATTTGACCTTCATACGCAGTTGCCAACAAAGTTACTGGGAGTTGCTCCTGTGTGTGTGTGGTAGTCTGAATCCTAAGAAATATTTTGTTAGTTCCGACGAGGAGAAGTGCGCTCAAAGAGCTATGTTACTGATGAAGGAATTCATTTAATGGGTGTCGGGATTTGGGCTCACAGCTCTCTACCATCCAATGCTAGATACATATTGGGGCTA